CTAAACCCTAAACCCTGAAACCCCACGAGACTTAATCCCGCGGTACTTAAGGGTTTCCGCTGTAGGGTTTAGGGCCAGGGTTTTAGACTCTGTGGTTTGGTGTTTACGATTCTGCGTTTGGGGTTTAAGATTCTGGGTTTAGGGTTTAAAATTCTGCGTTTAGGGTTTCAGATTCCGGGCATGGGGTTTCAGATTCCGGATTTGGGAGTCGGTTTTGGTTGACTCTGCACTGACGATCCTTCAGGTTGGCGGGGTTTAGGGTTTAGGGTTTAGGGTTTAGGGTTCGATCACAGAACATTGACGGGGTAAGTTGCAGGTCATGCATATGGGCAGTTGTCTAAATTAGGGCCCCTTTTAGGTCCTTATTAGTAGGGTGCCGTACTATAATGGGGACCTAAAAAGGGACCCTAGTTTAGAGAACTACCCACATGAAGCCACTGGAACTATGAATAAAAAGCCGCAGGCATCGTCATCATCGTCTTCAGTATTCGTCAGGGAAGCTCATCCTAACATTGCAGGTTTCGGCTTAGGGTTTAGGGTTGTGGGTTCAGGGTTCCGGTTTGGCATTCAAGCCTTTAGGAAAGCATCTGGACCAATTCTAACTCCCCAAGCTCTCCTACGAATTCGAGGTTTACACCTTGGCCGAAAAGGCCAAGCTCATGGAAGATGCCGAGAAACCTGCTGAGGACGCGAACCTGCTTGATAATTGTTTAATTGAGTCGGGGTCCCCCATGTAATGCTGCTTGCTGGTTTAATGACTTTTTTTCAGGGATCGTAGGGTCATTGCCTCTGCGAGGGGCAAAAAATCGGAACCCTCCGACAACCGCTATGAGGGAGATAGCCGCGCTCTGTTTTCCTTGGCTTCCGATGCCTGCAGCTTCGACTTCCCTTTGGCAGCCCGCGAGCGAGACTTGTGAGACAACCCTATCTGATTTCTTTCCTGGGGATTCCTTAATGCGGCTATTATTTCTGCTTAGTAGTTTTGTACTACTGTTATAATCAGTTGTTACTCGTTATTAGTCATACTCACTACTTATTACTTATTGACTTATTGCTGATCATTATTTATGATTGTTATGATCAAAGATTGTTCTATTTGTTAAGGCTCCATACTGACAGCAGCACGTGGCTGGTGTAGAACCTAAACTTAAACTACCGGAGCAGCTTGGGTCCTCTAAAGTCCTCATATGCTGGCACCTGTCCCGCATTTCACAGAACCCTACTATACTCCCGGAATACTCCCCATTGAAGAGTCCTGAACCCTAACCCAAAACCCTAAACGCTAAAACTTGGAACCCGATAAACCTGTCGAAGTCTCCCCAGACGCTCAGGAGGACCGCGCACTGATGCAAGACGAGGGCGTGTCTGTTTCTCGAACTTTCTCTATGTTCAGCAGACCGAGGTTAGTCTTTACATGGTTGGGGTGTGTTTAGGATGAAAGGACTAGTAGGGCTTATTAGGGAAGCGTTATAAGATGCATACATACATAGATAGATACATACATACATACATGTCTCCCCAACTTCAACTTCAGTCAATCCCGAAAACCCTAAAACGCGGACAGCGAACCTGTTGAGAGAACGGACCCGGGTTTGTCAAACGGATAGTCTCCCTGTAGCATCCTGGAGACTAAGTCAGCTGAACCCGTCCCCCATGCAGTGCCAATACCAGAAGCTTCAGCCCCCTGAAGCAGTCCTGCCTGGAGGATGGTGGGGGTCGGTACGTGAGGTTATAAGTATCAAAATGACACTAGAGTCACTACATGCAGTTACAGCCGTTATAGCTGTAGTTACCTCATGTATAACCCTAGTTACTGAGTTTCATGATCCGTTTAGTGGACTTTTCTCTGTATTGCGACACGGAGTTGGTGTCTGCTAGTCCCCAAGGCTCCATGTACCTGCATAGTATATACTTAGGCTTTGAAGTATCTACATAAGAACCTGTTTAAGGCCTAAGTATATGTTATATGGTTTGGGGCTCAGAGTTTAGGGTTTGCTAAGAAGATACCACAGGTGTCAAGTACTAAGCAACTCGGCTCACCTTTGGGTGTTATAAAGTAGAATTATGGATTCGATTAGATCAGTTTGATCATATTAGTATATATTAGAGTATATTGAAATATACTGGGTTACATTAGATGTCTGTTTGAACATGCTCGACCATACTAGGTCATATTAGATATGAGGTTATTTTAGACTATGACAGGTGATAAAGGATTATGTTAGACCATCTCAGAGTCTATATGTTTAGATTCTGTTAGTTTAGACTACATTACACTATGTTACGTTAGTATTTTTGTCAAGGTTGAAATCCTAGATGATATCAGATTTCATGTATAGTTGAATTGATGCGTCCAGTTGAGCTTATACATATCTTATTTTTTGGTATCCTGTTGTGCTCTGTCATCTTGTGTTGTACCATACTAAGGTAGATGACATAAAGAGGTCTGAAATATGAATCCAATGTTGCAGAGCTAGGTTGTCTCGGTGGCGCAGAGGGCCCTCGGCGACACAGCGGCTGTGATTTGCTCGCTCGCGTTTGCCTCGCAAATGCTGGCGGTGGTCACTGCTCAGGCAGTTGAAAGTGTGGTAGCTCTATCTAGTAATAGCTTCGGGCTTACACAAAGTCTTTAGGGCTTGAAATTCATTCTGAACAGCATTTTCGAGTGTCTCGTTTCAGGATCTAGTGAAACCCTATAAGGTACTTTACACCACACACCGCACCACAAGTCCCCAAAATCCAAATCCCCTCAATGCTGATCCCTGGTGAGAGCTACGCCTAGCCCCCATCACGGCTTTGGCAAGCACGTCTTCCCATGTTCCCTAGATCATTGCTAAACAACATATCCTGAAACACTGCATCCTTATCATATCTCCCATATTTCGTGGTTTCGATCTCAAGGCGCTTCGCTGGTATTGAATGTGTCATTTGAGAAGCAGATCATGAGTTGGTTCTTGTGTCTGAGGGTTCAGGTTTGATGATCCTTTTCGGGAAATCTCCGAACTAGGTACGCTATTTTTGTCTTGTTCTCATCCCCAGTGGTTGCTACTTGTGCTTTATATTGACATCACCATCAGTTCTCTATGGTTGCACATTCAGAGTTTTGTGTCTTGAGTTTAGTTTCAGGTCGAGGTTCTTGGGGCCTCCTACAGAAGATGGCGTCGGTGTGGCTGAAATGAACCCCAAACCCCTAGCCGGCCCTACCTAAACCCCTCAGCCGGAAGCACTCATCCAGCGAACTGTGAATACTCATGTATTAGCAGAGCTCCAGACAACAAGAAAATCCCGAAACCCCAAGAAACTTAAACCCTAAACACCAAAAGCCCTAAAAATGCCAAACCCCCCAAAACCCCTAAAAAGTCATTAAAAAATCCCTAAACCCCAAAACCCCAAAACCCCAAAACCCCAAAACCCCAAAACCCCTAACCCCTAAACCCTAAACCCTAAACCCAAACCCCTAAAACCCTCAACCCTAAACCCTAAACCCTAAACCCTTGCCCCTAAACCCTAAACCCTAAACCCTAAACCCTAAAAACCCCAAACAAAACAGCCCCGGGGCCTTTTTGGAGAGGTGGCCAAGTCAGGAGAGCTGGTGTCGACACTCACAGGCCTGGGGTTTCGGGGTTTAGGGTTTAGGGTTTAGGGTTTATAGAAATTGCTTAGGGTTCAGGTCCTGAGTTTTGGGCGGTTTTGACCGGGTTTTGTGCGGTTTTGACCGGGTTTTGACCGGGTCTTTCCTTTTGGGTTTAGGGTTTAGGGTTTGGGGTGTCGACACTCACCGGCCCCCGGCCGCCCAAACTTTGCTTCCGGCTTTGGGAGATGTAAAGTTCGGGGGGTTTAGGGTTTAGGGGTTTAGGGGTTTAGGTGTTTAGGTTTTTTTGGTTTAGGGGTTTGGGGGCTTAGGGTTTAGAGGCTTTGGTGTTTCGGGGTTTAGGGTTTAGGGTTTAGGGGTTAGGGGTTTAGGGGTTTAGAGGTTTAGGTTTTTGGGTGTTTAGGGGTTTAGGGTTTAGGGGTTTAGGGGTTTAGGTGTTTGGGTGTTTAGGGGTTTAGGGGTTTAGGGGTTTAGGGGCTTTAGGGGTTTAGGGGTTTAGGGGCTTTAGGGGTTCAGGGTTTTAGGGTTTTAGGGTATAGGGTTTTGAGGTTTAGGGTTTTACGGGCTTAGGGTTGAGGGGATTTCAGGCTGAAGCTCAGGGTTTTTTTTTGGGGGGGGGATGAAAGTCTGGGGAGGTGCGTCCGGGGTTTAACGTAGGGGCCTAAATAATTACCTATACTGTTTTGGGGGTGCCATAGTATAATGGGCCCCCAAAACCCTATTCGAAGAATTAAGGCCCCTATGTTAGGGCTTAGACTTTGGACTTTGGGTTGGTAAAAGAATCATAAGCGTAGTTCCTATTATAGAAACCCTACATGCTAAAAAGAAGCCTACGCCTTTAAAGGAACCCTCTAGGATCCGGACCCTTTGGGTACGTGTGTAGGAGTGCCCAACTATTTTGCAACAGGTTGACATTGCATCTTGAAGAGCTGAGAGGGCTTAGGGTTGTGGTTCGACGTTGTTGGATGGCCATAAAGCCCGGGTAGCTTCGTCCCAGAACCTTGTAGTAGCCCTTTTTGTAGCCTTGCGGTAAGCCCTAAACCCTGAAGCCGATAACAAAGCCATGTGGAGTAAGTCGGGAGCTCGCGGATCTTTTTGTCGGCAGGTCTGCCATACATCGCGGGCTGCATTGTTCCAAGTGCACGTTGGGCTGCAATAGGGAATCCTACTATACTCTACTCTACTATACTTATAACAAGGGCGCCAGGAGCGCCCTGCACCTGACCCTCAGCCGCCAATCCTACAGTGATCCTCGAATCACAGCCTGGACTCTAAACCTACAACCTACACACCAACTTCGAAAAGCCTTAAACTAAACCCCCAAACCCCTAATCCCTAAACCCTAAACCCTAAACCCTAAAAATCATGAGTCATGAGTCCCACACCTCAAAGCATCGACCTTCAACCCTACGGCCCTAGGCCTGCACTCAATCCAAAGAAAATCAGGTCCAAACACAATACCCTAGACGTGATGCTGAAAAAACGTGATTTTTGCACCTCAATCGGCTAGAATTTCAAAGTATCGGGGGTGTGTTTTTGGGCTTGGGTCTTCGGGTTTCGGCTTCTAAGGTAGCTAAGGTGTAGATTTTCCGGTCAGTAGCCTAAACCGTAAGCCATCTAATCGAGTACAGTTTGTCATTTTTTGGCTCAAGTGATTCAGTGTGTTACGGTTTCTGACGTTTGTCGGGTTGAAGTGTTCAGAGTATGGTGCTCAGGGCCTGTGTGTTGTAGGTATGTAGAGATTTTATCAGCAGGTTAGGGTCTTTGAAGTAGGCCTTGTGGGTAGACTTCGTCCGGGGAAGGCTCCTTTTTTGAGAAAAAAGTGTTTCGGATTAAGTCTCTAGGGCCCAGCGTTTGCTTGTATGTTTCATCTCAGTGCCTTGAGATATAAATGGACTTTCAAGAAACTAGGACTAACTGCAACGAATCTCTGGCTTTGGCGAATCGAGTCTTGACCTCTTTCAGCTTAGAGGGCTTTGAAGATTAATACCTGTTGCTGCAGGTATTGGTGGGCCTTTTCGCTTTTGAGACGCCGCCCCGCATCGTAGAGCAGCGTGGCTTTCTTGTTGCCAGAGTTTGGATGGCTTGGGTTTGTATATGTAAGAGTTGCGCATCTAAACGCTTGTGGACTGGTGGTGGAGACGGCAGAAAGAGAGATGGTCGCATGCCAGAGACTATATCATCTACATGACATGCATATCTTTCAGTTGGCTCTGGTTTGTGGGTGTTAACTTCCGTGGCACGGCGGTTTGCATGGAGATGATGAAGATGATGCATCCCCTCTGTCGACATCGCTTGTATAAAGTCCCCCATCACATGGCCAAGTTTGGATGTGCGTCCTTAAGCGCCGTATCGTGTAGACCCTAGCTTAGTTGAGGTATTTTCGAGGAAATTATAGTTTCCGAAAAGGCCATGCCTTGAAAGCTCAAACGCGTAACTCGCCGGATCGTGATACTGCAACCCCCGAAGCATGCCCGAGTAGCTTGTCCGGAGAATTATGTTGAGGGTTTAGGGTTTAGGGTTTAACTATCTTCTTCCGGGCATTCGGTTGTAGAATTTACGATAGTAGTCCTAGGTGGTATTAGGGAGACCCCTTAACGGGGACCCTTCTTAACCCTAATCATGAGTCCCTTGCAAGGGACCTTATTGAGAGGATCTATGTCCCCAAGGGTCCCCCTAACCTTAACTCCGAAGTAGGAGTAGGTAAATCCATGTGAATTCTCTTGCACTTTCAAGTCAACATCCGCATGAAAGGATGGAGAGGGAGTCTTCAAAGGAAGCCTGTAAAGGACCCGTAAAGAGGAACCCTCTAAAGCAATTGACGTGAGGCAGAGCAACACAGTGCTGGCCGCTACCATGGTTGGTGGCTTCCTCTTCCTGCATCTGGGCTTAGGGTTTAGGGTTCAGCGTGTAGGGGCATCTGGGCTGGCAGAAAGCAGGTCTAGATCTCAGACCCATATAGGTAGTTCTCTATATTAGGGTCCCTTTCTGGATTCCCAAAATAGTACGGCGCCCTCATAAAGAGGACCCCAAACCGGATCCCGATTTTGGAGAACTGCCCATGACCCTCAACAACCCTCAACCCCAGAGGGGCTAAGCTGAAAGAAGTCTTGAGATTCAAGAGCGCATGAATTGTCAAGGGGTGCTCTCGCGCGCTGCTTTGCCTTACAGGGCAACGGCTTTGCACAAGTTGAAGATTGAAATGTGTGGCTTCTTGCTAAACCCTAAACCCTAAACCCTAAACCCTAAACATTGCTATGTGGGCTTACGGTTTCGAAAGCGCTGAGGGTTTATAGGATTTGGGCCCAGGGTTGGCCAGGATTCTTCCTAAGAGCTCCATCAGAAGCCTGAAGCAGGTTTTGTCGAGCCCTAAACTTAAACCTCTGAACCCTAAAACCTAAACCCTAAACCCTAAAAGCCCTAAACCCTAAACCCTAAAAACAGAAAAACTAAACCCTAAACCTTGTGCAAACATGAAGCAGACAGCGGAGACCTCGGACATGGTGACCCCATGCCCGGAAGGTTCAACTTTGAATGGAGGACCTTGATGTGTAGACGGGTATACATTTTATGGTTTAGGGTTTCGGTTTAGGATTTAGGGTTTCGCTTGAGGGTTTAGGGTTTCGGTTTAGGGTTTAGGTTTTGGGGTTTCCTGCATGCCCCAAGACTTGTCTTGAGTCTTGAAGAGCTTGATAGTAGTAGAGAAGGCAACGATTAATTTAAATCCCTGTGTAAACCCAAACCTCCATTTTTACATGTAATTTCCTCAGATTGCCGGACAAAGAAGATCTAGATCCGCGTAAGCTCTAGGATTGTCAGCACTGTGGGTGCCAACTTGTCGCAGTTGCCGGCGGCGCTGCGGCTTGGACCAGAAGCTTCAGAGGGTTAAAGGTTTAGGTTCAAAGCCGTCCGACCTCTTGTGGGATCCATTTAGGGTTTAGGGTTTAGGGAGCCCAGATCCGAAACGGAAATTCCCATACCTTATAAACTGTGTACCCTGAACCCTAAACCTGCAATAATGGGTTATCTTCTTTGGAAGAGCTCCGTCCCCAGCCTCTGCGGCCGGTTCCATCAACTCATGGCTGTAGTAATCTAGGAGGTCGGAATAATCTGGCATAGTTAGCAAGATTATCTAGTCGAAGTCCCGTATTGAATTTAGTTAGGTATAGCCCAACATCCATCAAAGGCGCCTATATTGAGAACTCTATATGCAGTGGTCCTGGCAAGAGATTGCGCTTGTGCTCTCCACCACCTCGGTGCAGCTTCACACGTTTCTTGCTGTCGACCGTGTTAGTATTTCTTGTTGCTATGGCCAGAAGTCCTTCTACTAAGACGAGTGCTCTGGCACTCGATTATAGTGGCACCCCTAAGCCCTGAACCCCAAACCTAAGCCCCAAACCCTAAACGTGGATCTGTACAAAGCAACCGCATTTGCCACAAGTATCAGAGAGCCTAGTGACATCCTTGGGTGATGGGACTACGCAGCCCCGTCAACCTCGAAGTAGGAACAATCAGTCATGATAACAATAACCATAGCAACCAAGACTATTTATAATAATAGTAGTAAAAGCTGAAAACATATCGTAATACTATCCCCTGGCCCTGGCAGTCGCTAGTATCGTAGAGCATGCCCCCAAACCCTATTCTAAGTATTCAGGCCCCCCGGCATCAGAGTAAATCCGAACCCCCCAGGCCCAAACCAGCGGTGGCTTAAGCACAACCTATATGCGTAGACTGAGTGGTCAAAACTGTAGGGTCTAGGGTTTCGGATGTGGGATTCAGGATGCAACGTAGGACTTCGGATTTAGATCCATGCAGGGTTTAGGAAGTCTAGGGTTTCGGATGTAGGGTTTAGGAATTCGGATCGGTTTAGGCATACTGTAGGGTTCCAGATGAAGGACGAGAACCAGTACAGTGCCAGCAGTTCTGGCCGTTCTAGTGGCTACACTTATTCCAGCCATCATGAGCCTTGCAACTGCTGGCATCATATTGTAGCCAACGACACGATAGGTACTCGTATTTGCAGTCCTTGCGAATGTATGGGTTTGTGTTTTCCTTTTTGATGTTTCCGAAGACGAGAGCTCTTTCAGGAATCCTGCTAGATGATCTATGCCGGACTCTTCTTAAGAACCCTTCTGTAGAACCTTCTGCTGACCTGACTTCTTAAGAACCCTTCTGTAGAAGCTTCTGATGACCTGACTTCTTCAGAACCCTTCTGTAGAACCTTCTGATGACCTGATGATCCTTTTGAACGCTCCTGCCATGCCATGGCTCGCCCAAGGTCGGCGCTTCCGCCTGCCGACTGGGGACTGCTCATTCCCGCACTTCGGTGACCAGTGCTTTTCTGTTTGGGTTTAGGGTTTAGGGTTTAGGGTTTGGGGTTTAGGGTTTAGGGTTTAGGGTTTTTCTGTTTGGGTTTAGGGTTTAGGGTTTAGGGTTCTGATTTTTGGTGGCCCGACTTTTGAGGTGTAGGGCTATTTGGGACCAGAGGGCTTGCGGTCGGGAGATTTGACCAATTGCAGTGTGTTTGGGAGGAGCTTTCGGTCAGAGGTGGCAGCTTGAACACCAATCTTAAGCTTTATCCGAAAACCCTCTGCTATCTATTGAGGCTCCCATGTAAGATAGCCCTAACTACCTTAGGATGACAGTTCGGGTCCAGGTTCGGAACACGAGTCAATAGAGGGGCCTAAATAATTACCTATACTATTGTGCGGTTCCTTATAATATAATCATGGTATAATATACCCCAAAACCCNNAATTGTTAAGGCCCCTACATTATGGAGAAGGGCTTCATGCATTGGGGCGGTTTACTAGGTTATCCAGCCAAATACTCTCGACTGAATATGCAAAATGCGCAGGAATGAAAAATATTAAGTGCACACCCTAAATATGGTACTTGACGAGGGCTGTTAAACTCGGGGGGGGTTGTTTAGGATCAAGGGTTTGGAGTGCGGTAAGTTCGGCGATAGGGGCCGACACAAATACTGGGGCTTTCAGAGCCTTTTGGCCAAACTGAACTTCAGGGCTTGTTTTCTTCGAAGGATAGGTCGAATTCCAATTTTCAGAACATCGGAAACTCCTCCCCCCCAAACCCTACTGACATCCTAAACCCCAAAGCCGAACATCTCCAAAAAGATCGACACAAGAGCAAACCTAAGCCCGTCACTGCACATGCCGCTCTCCGACCTTCCCATAGAAGCCTGCATAAGTTCTGAACCTTCCCCTTAAGTTCAATTTTTGATGATTTACTACAAAGGGATAACTATTCGTATTGTTATGCATACTAAAGCTTGGTTAGGATGAGAAGCTTCTTAAGAGTATTAAAATATTTTACAAACCCGAAACCCTAGACCCTAAAC